AGCTAATTGACTATAAAATCTTAGTAGCAGACAGATGAACTAATCAACAGACCTCTCTACATTATTGTTTAGACTACCAATTATATACAAGTAAAACAGCCTATGTACTTAGGTGGACAGTCATTAGGAGTTTTATATAGAAACTTTTTCGAACAAAATGAATGTAAAAATTAAAGCTTTATGAATTCGTAAATTAATTTTTTATGGCAAAATAATATGGTAGATCTAACCAATGTAAATGAAAAGGTTAAAATTTGATTTAGCAAACTGTTGAGTAAGCACTAAGTTGAATATTTCTCGATGTGATTGGCTTAACTAACTTCCTGTAGATCACAAACTAACTGAAGTGAAGGACACTTACCCCTTTAAGATATATATTTGTGCATAACACAGACAAGCTTAAATTTGTGTTAATTTTTTATTTATTTTCATTCGCTGAAAATTCCCTTACGCTAAGTCATGGAACGTAAGATACTTAATTTCCTACTAAATGGAATTTTACAATGATATAATCTCTATAATCAAGTCAAAGCATAGTAATGAACCTCATAAATAAAATAGTTTCTGCTGTTGTTGAACGACATTTATGTAGTAAACAGTTAAGCTCAACTAGGTATGTTAAGAAGTCATGTAGAAATTACTGTCAATAAACTTATAAGCTTGCTGGACGAAACGTTGGAATTATTTAGATTGTAATCGCTGAGATTATTTCAAATATAATTTTCACCTATAATGACTTCTCTATACTTGGTGCCCAATTTTTGTCAAACTATCAGTTCTAATATTGAGGAATATTCGTATAAATATTCATTGTGATATAAACTATGAACAAATAAACTTTTAACTTCCTAATTTACTTTAAAATTTTACTAAAGAAGCATTTCACAGCATCTAAGAAATAATGTTAAAAGATTGAGTGTATAGAGCGACAGGATTTGTTCGAAGCGAAAAATTTGAAACATAATGTACACACACTTTCACAAAATGCAAAATTTGTTAGCCTACTATGTTATTACTGAGGCGCTGTTCAGTACGTATGTAAATTCACATGGCATGAAGTGTAAAGTACATTGAAAAATATGGTTTCAGTTTCTAATCTTAAAATAAGCATTGCTAACTACACAAAAAGCAAGCTTTCTGATAACTAACTAGCACTACATTTTTTTGTAATCTGAGGTTACGGTTTACTTATGAAATTAATACGCGTACCACGTGTGGAAGGTTAAAAGTTAAAAACTCCATTTACCCAAAATGTAAAATTCAATAACGGTAGATAAAATAAACTGAACTTAGTATTTAGTTGAGGTTAGTTACTGATCATAAACAGAGAAATCTGCATCATTTGAATGAACTGAAAATGAGATGGTAGGCGACATTTTGACAAAATGTAGGAATACGAGAAATTGCCTATTGACTATTTAGAAAGGGATGTTTGGATTTTGATGTTGGCACATTTCACAGCAGTGTTAACTAAAAAGTGGCAATATGTTTCAAAATTATCTAGCCACTTTCAAATGCAATTCAACTGGCCACCATGTGTCGAATAAGTCGGACTCTAAGAAATAAACTGTACTAATGTGTATTTATTTACTGTTATGTCCAAATGAAGAATAAATGAGTGATAACTTACAGGAATCATTTAAAAACTATTATATATATATATATATATATATATATATATATATATATATATATATAATTATTAAGTAACTAGATCATATGTATTTATATTTCTTTTATCATATGTTTTCATTTGACCTATTTCGATTGTTATACGATTTAGTGCTCTTAATTTATTCCCAATCTATTAGTTACAGTTCCTTATACTCACAGAAACTTTGGGCTTGATCTTGTATAATAATTATCTTTTATTCTATGGTGTGGTGCGTTCTGGTCTGCTTGTATATAAACCATATATTTCTGAAATATACGATTCATATAGCGGAGTCTGGTATTTGTGACATGGACTGAACGGGATGAGTTAGACGAGAAGCTAATATACAGAGGATCAATAAAGGATTCAAAGTCGACTCAAGGCCTCGACTGCTGGTTGATGTGTCCCTGCTTTAGCATAGGGATAGTCATAGAGGTCAGTATTCTGATTAGCGATGTCGTCATATGGTAAATAGACAGTTAATTAAAATAAACAGACTTATAAATTACATAGTATATAGTCTAAAGTATAGCTGAAAGATCTCTTTTAATAAAAAACGAGATTTATGGGTTCTAGAAACTTTGATCACAATCCCACAAAACAATCCTATATTGATAATCTACCCCTAACGAGACCGAAGAGAGAACACATGGGAATTCAGAAAAAGCTTGACATTCTATCCAAGAAGTTAAGATTGTGTCAGACGAAAAGTGAAAGTAATTGACCAGATAATAGAGGTCAGTGAGGTAGAATGAATTAAAAATTTACAAAGAACATCCATATTTGCTAGAACTAAAATTCATTAGATCCAGGTAATTTAAAGCCTTCCTAGTAGCAGTTGGCTTTCTGATAAGTCAAGGAAAGGCGTGTTCATATTTGCTTTAACTAAGCGTGATATTTTACGACATCAGCTTTATTCCCAAAGAGACATTTTAGTTAGTGTAACGTTAATCTTATATTATACAGTGTAAAGTCCATATAATATAACAATTGTAAACTTTCGTTTAGGACCGGGAAGCCTGGTGGTCGGAGCGTGCTAATGAGATGGAAGCAGCAGCTGCATCTGGTAACTGCCGGAAGCTCTTCCAACTCATCCGAGCCACTGGCAGCAAGAAGTCTGGTGTGAGTGAAACAATCTACGAGGATGACGGGATGCCAATCACTAACATCTGTCGACGTCTTGGACGATGGGCGGAATTTTTCGAAGGGCAGTTCAACTGGCCTGCTGCTCCGGCAACATCAACCAGCTTGTCCTGCTCCCCATGGCCGGTGACGACTGATCCACCAAACGAGGCGGAAGTCCGCAAGGAACTCCAACTCTTGAAACGTTATAAATCACCTGGCCCAGATGACTTACCTCCGGCTCTTTTTAAAGATGGTGGTGACTTTCTGGCTAAGGAACTGACTGCGTTGTTTGGAAAGGTTTGGGAGCAAGAAAGTGTTCCAACATCTTGGAATGAGTCAATAGTCGTCCCTATCTTTAAAAAGGGTTCACGTTGTTCCTGCAATAACTACCGGGGGATAAGTCTACTTTCGATCGCGTCCAAACTATTGGCTTCTATCATTCTTCGTAGGTTGTTTAAAACCCGAGAACGATTGACTCGCGAGGAGCAGGCTGGTTTTCGTTCTGGTCGAGGATGCATTGATCACATCTTCACCCTCCGCCAAATGTTAGAACACCGTCATACTTATCGCAGGCCAACAATCGTAGTGTTTCTTGATATCAGGGCGGCCTTCGATTCGTTGGACAGGACTGTTCTCTGGGATTGTCTATTGAAGAAGGGTGTGCCTGAGAAGTTCATTAACATGGCGGTGTGGATATGTTGCCTGGAGAACGACTTCTCGACCTTGAGTATGCGGATGATATTGTCTTACATGTGCTTTGCACCCTTCAAGTGCAAAGTACTCCTACAAGACTGGCAGGATTCTCATCCTGTACTCACCCTGGATGGTGAGGAGATCGAAGTAGTTGAGAAGTTCGTGTATCTAGGTAGCTATATAAGTGCTGGTGGTGGCGTGAGTGATGAGATTGATGCACGTATAATGAAAGCCAGAGCGGCTTATGCCAATCTGGGCCATCTTTGGCGCCTTCGTGATGTTAGTCTGGCTGTAAAAGGTCGGATCTACAACGCGTCGGTGAGAGCAGTTTTGCTCTATGCTTGTGAAACCTGGCCTCTCCGAGTTGAGGATGTTAGACGTCTCTCTGTGTTCGATCATCGTTGTCTCCGAAGGATTGCTGACATCCAGTGGCAACACCATGTTAGTAATGCAGAGGTTCGGCATCGTATGTTCGGGCGCAGAGACGATAATTCAATTGGTGTCACCATCTTGAAACACCGACTTCGGTGACTTGGACATGTTTTACGAATGTCGTCCCAGAGACTTCCGCGTCGTGCATTATTTGCCGACCCTGGGACTGGTTGGAGAAAGCGGAAAGGAGGTCAGTGTATGACATGGTGTCGTGGCATGAAAGAGAGCTGCAAAGGGCTAGCTTTTGTTGGTCCTTCACGACTCCCTGGTTGGGGTCCGAGAGATAGTGCAACACAGTGGCTAGAGACGTTATCGGATATGGCTCAGAATAGAAGCCAGTGGCGATCCTGCTGCAACCTTCTTTTACTTTCTACATAAAGAATGGTTCTAACTTTCCTAACTGAAAGAGTCTTCTGGTTGTACATTTCAGCCCGCCTTATCTTTTCATCCTTTATCTACCTACTTTCATTATTTTGTGTGGCGCATATGTACCTGGTGCCCTTTTGTACCAATATATATGTGTTTAAATAAATAAATAAATAAATAAATACGGTATGAACTTTGTATTTGTTTTACAGTAACCCTATGTCTCTTTTTATTTATATGGTTACTAATATCATCAATAATGTATAAAATCAGTTTATAAATGAGCGTATTTGTCTAAAAGAAGTGCTTTGGAGAATTAATAAATCTTTATTTTCACCAGTCTTTTGTGTTCTTAGTCTGCATTGTGAGAATTACAGTGGTTCTCGATCATGTTTAAGTAGTAGGACCGCGGACACAAAGAAGGCGACACAAGCATAACAGTGGTGATAGGGTAAATTTATAAGTTTTACCAGTCAGACAGTGACATTATACTGATTACAGTAGATAGATAAAAGAACTTGTGTATGATTAGTGTTATATCTAAAGAAGTCAATGTGTGAGAAAATCGATTAGGCTGCTGGATAGCTCGAATAACATGCTTCTTTGATAAACGAATAGAAAACGTTTTTGGTTTACTCAGGTGTACAGACGTTACTACGAAATTTCAAGGAAAAATAAAGGTTTAAAATATGTAATAAACAGTATATGTAGTAAATAATTAAAATTATACCTTACTCTATGATCAAAGGTTATTTCAAATTCACGTTCCAACCGAGTAAGTAAAGCTGCCTTGCAACTAGAATACAACATTCGACTTTTTATTGGGCTTTGATTGCCAGAAATTGTATGAATAAAAACTGAAACAGAAAAGAAAATACAAAGTTTTCTGGGAAGAAAATTCACTATCAAAAACTGCGAAAAATTGCAGCAGATAGGTCAATATATCCAAATAATAGCATCCTAAACTAATTATACCAGGATCTCGACGGTATTGACCGAATTACCAGGCTGAAACCGCTTAGGATGCAATTATTGCCACTTATTGATTAAGAATAGGTTGTCGACTATCACATTCACAGCCGGACCTCTTGTTAGCATAGTTCAAGTTATCCTTATCCAATTACAACTGCTAATTAAAATCTATGTTAATGGAGAATGAAAACTTGAGTATGATAAACTCAAAGTAGAATTTTTCGATTCACTTAAACCGATTGAAATGACTGTTCATTATGATATTTTGTCCAGTTGTGCTTACTTGCCTCATATACTGATAGAAATAGTAACATGACATCATTTAGATCTGTACATTCATGTCTGACTGTATTTCAGACAGAATATCCAAATCTTAAAGTCCAGATACTTTAGCTAATACTATTTTCGGTATTTACTTATCAGCCCTATCAAGCACGTAACTCAAAAAAAGGTTGAAACAAGTACGTTTGATCGATAGTACAATGGTGTTATTTTGTGACATTTCGACTTTTAGAAAAAGAACAGATGTGAGTCAGAAAATGTACCCGACCGTTGCTGCTACCTTGACGTGGTGATCAAGCGTGCCTATTGTGACAAACCAATCAGTCTATACTGGCTGGAACAATCGTTCCTCAAAGTCCTACCATGCCAGACAGGTTGGCTGAAGAGCAGTTAGACTAAAAGCAACAAACCCAAGGTCCGAAGGCAAGGTCGCACTACTGACTATACAAAGGTGTGACGACAGTAAGGTGTTTCTCTCAAACAACCGGCATAACAGCGATGCTGCCTTCCCACAAGGAGGGTGGGGTTAGAAAAGGTCGACCCTAGAAATGCACACCTCGCCTTATCCCACGGACATCCGTCTCGGGCCGTAAGGTCCCAACAAGTACGGAGCTAACATGAAAATTATTGACAAAAAGGTCGCGTGAAGAACCCTTCCACGGTGTGAGCAACAGGGAAGTGATAACTGCCCTCATACCTACAACAGCACTTAAGATCATTGTATTCATAATCAATCTCCTTCTTCAGTTCCTATTATTCCTCACACCTTGACTTTAAACACTAAACTTCCTCTTTCGGCTTCCTCAAATGTCACCATGGCTAATGATTCTAGTTAGCAAAACACTGTCCCAGGTCTACTGAAACCTCGCTCCAAACTACACGTGTGAGCGTTCAACGAACGTACCCTGTATCAAATCGACTAAAACATGGAAGTTGGTCTCAATCACTGATTGTCCTAATATATAAGAAAGGATCATAAACATTCTGTGACAACCATAGAGGGATTAGTTTGACTAATATAATATCTAAAATACTAGCCTCAATAATTATCGGACGTCTGAAACTCGTGAACTGCAAACAAGAGAAAATTAAGTTGACTTCAGACCTGATCGTGGCTGAATCGACAACATATTCACTATTTGTCAGGTTTCAGAACACAGACATGCTTATCGTCGTCCGACGATGATAGTTTTTCTTGACTTAAAAGCAGCATTTGACTGTGTAGACCGAGAGGTTATGTGGCAGTGTCTACCATCGAAAGGTGTACCTCAGAAGTAAATAAACCTTGTGAAGGTTCTTCACTCGAACACTACCAGTCGAGTCAAAGCTTATGGAGAAATATCATCTGATTTTACAACCTCAAGTGGTGTCCGACATAGCTGTCCACTATCCCCATTTTTGTTCAACTTCATCATTGACCAACTGCTGGAAATAACACTCTCATCGACTGAATTGTCAGAAATTGACCTCCTTCCAGGAGGTCCACTTATTGACTTACAATACGCAGATGACATAGTCCTGTTTAGTGAAGACGCTGATAAAATGCAGAGTCTTCTATTAGCACTAAGTAACAATGCAAGGATATTTGAAATGCGTTTCTCCCCATCTAAATGTAAATTGTTACTCCACAACTGGCCTGCATCAACACCTGAACTAAGAATAGGGAACGAAGTAGTCGAACGCGTCGACAACTTCACTTATCTTGGAAGTCTGATCAGCTCTGATGGGTTGGTGTCTGACGAAATCGCAGCACGGATTCAAAAAGCTCGTTTGGCTTTTGACAACTTACGTCACCTATGGCGAAGACGAGATATCCGTCTACCAATTAAGGGACGAGTATACTGCACAGAAGTTCGTTCTGTTCTACTTTACAGCCGCGAAACGTGGCTATTAAGAGTAGAAGATACTCATAAGTTACTATTATTTGACCACAGATGCCTCAGAAATATTGACAGCATCTGCTGGGATCACCGGGTAAGTAATAGTGAGGTTCGACGCATGGTATTAGGAAATGATGGTAAATAAGTTGATGAGGTCATGGATCTTCATCGACTGAGATGGTTGGGTCACGTGTTACGTATGCCTGAAACCGATTACCACAGCGTGGAATGCTGACTAGTATTGGGGATGGTTGGAAGAGAGTTAGGAGCGGTCAAACTAAAACGTGGCATCAGTGCCTGAGGTGACTAACTTCTATTCTGAGTCATGTTGGTAGATGCAGACTACTTGGTTGGAGTCCACGTCACTATCGTAACCAATGGTTGGAGACTCTGTGTGACATGGCTCAGAATAGATCACAATGGCGTAGGTGCATACACTGGTTAAACCGTGAGACTTAAACTGCTCTATATCTGTCTTCTTTCCTATACTATATCCTTATATACAATCTTTCTTTTATATATCACCACCACTAAATTAACTACTTCTATGAATTCGGTGTTCATCTTGTTGTGCTAATGAGGTATGGCAACTTGGACCGGTGTATATATGTGCCTGGTCCTACGCTGTAGCTGAGTGACTGACAGAAAATTAAAAAAGTGAGAAACAGTACAGGATATTCAGGAGACCAGTATCATAGATGCTTCATTAGATAAGAGTGGATACAGTATTTTTGAATACCTTGACAAAAGCAACGTTAATGAAAAATTCCTAAAGGAGTTCCGAAAAAGTGCTTACTGAAATTCATGATAAACTTACAGGTAGCAGAATGTTCTTCACCTTTAAACATATGACGGAAACGAAAAAGATGATAACGACCTTCTTTTTCTGGACAAATTTCTGCTATTTGTTTTGGCGTAATATGTTCACGAGTCCCGCAAACTTTGATAGTTTCACTAAGAATATCACACTTCTGGCAAAAATTACAAACGACAGGTTACGCAACAAAATGGCAAGTCGTCAGACTACTTTTAACAGAACTTCAAAGCTACTACTATTATAACACCTCTAAAACACTTAAGTTCCTTTACGTTTAATTTTATCAAGCCCTTTGACTAACTAAATAATGTTATTCGAATAGCAACAATTCGTGTCTTGATTTTATTATTATTATGTCTCCATGAACATGTGTGACTAATCACATGTGACAGCCTATACACATTCTTATCCCTAGCCCAAGTATTAGTTTCTTAAATCGCTGGATAAATTATTCACTTTCGCATATTATATATATATATATACTTGGATCTTATTAATTTATTCGGCTTTTTATACGATTCCTTATTCAACACTTAATCCGCCCCTGCATTTGCTCGCTGTTATTAGCGTTTTCGCTCGATTTCGTTTGGCATACTTGTGGTTTATTGATCTGTGCTATTCAACAACAAACTGTAGTCGGTACTTCGTGTTGCCTTCTGAAATATACTAACCGTTGAGATTTATTTATTAATGGTTATCAGGACGTTTAGTGTACGAAACGTTGGGAATTATCTCGGAGATAGTCCACTAAACCATAATAGGTTAAGGCTTATGTATTACGTATCAACATTTCATTTTACCCATGAAGATTACATTTGAATTTAGAAGGAGACCTAAAGGTATAGGTACTGTGAACAAGCAAAATGAATTTTATCTCTTCTTGCCAAACTAGATTCTTTGTTTAACCTTTTTTAAACGTCATTGATACTACTCATATCCCAAATTACCTAGTTAATTTAGATCGATACTTACCTGTTCCACACCCTATGTTGATTATAACTGATAATTTAGAGGGTTAGTGACCTAACTGATGTGGCTGGTAAATGAGCTCTTCAATACGCATCACTGTTGCTTCAAATTACAAGTAGAATGGTATGAATTTTTACTAAAATGCAATACAGTATAGACAAACCGTTGTTGGTCTTTTATACGCGTAGATCATCTCGTTTCTGCTTCTTAAATGCATGAAAAATTATAAAACTAAATATCATCAAACATACAGAACGGAACTTTACAATGATTCCAATAGTTAAAATGAAACCTCTGTCAACTCAGTGACTAGTCAAACATAAACTATTTTACTTTTTACGGAAGTGTAATTGCCTGAATATTCGTCCGAAGCATTTCTAATCCGCTAATTACAATAGAAGTCATCAGAATGTACTACCTACATGTCGTGAATTGAGAGATGATACAACGAAAACGCCACATCATCAATTATACTAGAGTACACTTCTCTTAAAATAACAGATCATATTTATTAGCATAGCTTAAAACCAGCAACTAGACAAAATGACTTCAATAAGCAATTTAGCATACAAAATAGGGGGTTTTAAAGTCTTACTTATGGCATACACTAATAGATAAGAAGGTTACATACCGAATCCATTCTATTTGTTGAGAACCAACGAATGGGTTCTTAATGCAAATCCTAGTACGCAATACCTCAGTTGAAATAGAGATGGTCGTGTGATATGTTATGACTGATTACATGTGCATACACGGAACGGTTCATGTAACTTTAATTGTTCGTTTTCCCAAGTATCACTCCTAAACTAACGTTTTTCACCACAAAGTACAAATTACGTAATGCATACCATAGGTTAAGTATGTCATAATTTCGTTTCAATGTTTAAAATCCCAACTAAAATGTAGACCAATCTTAACTATCTTAACACATTTTATGCATTGACCAAACTTACTAACTGAACGTAATCACACTTTCCCGAACTAAAATTCTTCAACTCGGAGCGAGAATCAGGACTAAGCGCGAATGAAACACCACCGATTGTTTGATAGTTGGAATGCAGCCCAGTTGTCACCTTTAGGTAAATGAGTAATATTTCGACATACTTCTCCTGCGTGGATGCCAGCCACCTCAACTTCAGCTGCAGTATAAGGTCCAGGGGCAGTTTTACTTTCCATAATTTTTTTATACGCCCTTAAATTCATTTCACCCTTAAAATATAAGTAAGAATTACAGAACTTACTACACAGTTTATTGTTATATCATCCTTGATCAGGTTATCTCCAAACTGCTTAAGAACCGTTGCCTTGGTGGCTGCGTATATCGTTTTTAGACGCACCTAAAGAATTGTTGCAGTGATATTAATACATTATTCAAACCAAGACCTACGTCAGAACTTTCAGGAACATAACATATAAAAATCCAGTCGCTTCCGAAGGAGTTGACAGAATCCAGACGATAAAACACATAGCACGGAGAGCTGGCATCTAAAAGCTTCCCCATCACAACATCAAAATCATCTTCCCAAGAGCCTTTAGACGGTATTTTCATAAGCAAAACTATTTTTTCCTTATCTATAATGAGCTTCAAAGCTCTATACGACAGGCTTTTACAGTCTGCTAATTTAGATGCTTCATATGGGTCAGCTAAAAGTAAATAAAATAATTAACAAAATATAGTTACCGTGTATTCCGCTTTGGAGAGTCATTTGTACTGCCGCCTTCGAAATAAACAGTTGAATAAAATTCAAACCTCAAGCTTGTGGGAGAAACAGTGAACTATTCGTTCTGTCGGTACTGTGGTTAATTTTTCGTAGAAAGTTTTTAGTCATATTAAGGCATGAGCCTTGCCACCGTGTTTGAGGAATCTGAAAGAATAAGCTTAATCTCAGTGGAAGATTTGGTACACTATATTGTGACTATCTCAAAAGCATGCAAATGGAAAGTGTGGATTTCGTTCCAACAATGTTTGACTATCGACCTTCAAGAAGTGTCTTGGCATCACTCTTCTACCTATCTAACAAGAAGTGGTCACACCTCACTTAATCTCTACAATATATGCCTTCGGTTATATTTGAGAAAGTAACAAATCCCTCCATACCACAATAAAATCATTCTAGACGGTCAGACTAGCCTACCTGGACCTGTGAAAAAATTATGCAATTCCTGAAGAGCAGGAGTCATCTTTGGAAAGTATTCTCAAAAACTAGACATGATGTGTTGAGGCTCATGTACAGAACTATATACATCACGACCACCACTCGATCTTTTATTTTACATAGTAAAAAACCGATGATTCACCTAGTGCCAAACCATTCTAACACATGGTTTGATTTCTCTTTTAATGCATGAAAGCAAATTTGTAGTTAGACTTGTTGTCTTTAGCTGTTATTAGGCGGCTTGAAAATTCAAGTGAAACTCGAATAGTATGCGTTTGGACTGAAAACTGGAGTCCAGTTAGTAGAGCTCCACAGTATGACATTTGCCGGATGAGTTTTTACGTTTTTAAGGCAGGGTAAAACTGCTAAATGTTGGCCTTCAACAAAGCTTTGAAAATCCCTCATTACAAAACGAGTCTGAATAATGCGACCAGATGGATGAGGACTGTTGATGCTACTGGTTACGGGTTGTGACGGCGACATATCACCTAATGTCCCTCCTTGGGAAAGTATTTGGATTCTTTGACTGACCGACAGAGATAGACCATTTATTATCTCACGTCCTAAATTGGTGTATAGTTGTGACATCGAGGGACTCAAAATCTAGTCATGGACTGCCTTATCAGCTAAATGAGAGAGAAATGTGGGTTCAAAAAACATGTCTTTTCGTGTCCCACTGCTTGATGGAGAATTACTAACTCCTTCAATGTTCGACCTTTTTCTTGTATAAGTAATGATGACCCAAACATAGTTTATAGATGTCACATACTTTGTTAGCTTGTTCTCTTATCTCATCATCATTTAACTTTTTTCCACAAATTGTTGCACACGATTTGTTTTCGAGGCTCTCTGCATGGAATCAGAGCTAGTAAGAGAATGGACGGTAAAACATTGAGACGTGGATATCTCGGAAAGTGCCACGGGCGGACCACTCAACATCATTCTGTAAGGTACTACTTTCCTATGCTTTGTCCGGCTATCAGGCGTTTACCCAGCCGTCTGTTGAGTCATCCTACAGTCAAAAACGAAGAACTTATTTCACGAGAAAAAAAATAAATTCAGTCGAACCCGAAGAAAATTTTACTGCTCGTATAAAACAATGAGATACAAAAAGTAAATGTTCGGTTCCACATAAATGTTTAATCTTGCAGTACGTGATGGTGATCTAGAAGGAAATGGACATTTTGTAGATATCTTGGGAATGGATGCACATTAAAATGGAACTTTTGCAGAGAATATCAACCTGGACCTGTCAGAAGTTGCACTCATCTATTAACTCCAATAAACACATGACCTCGAGTATGTGATGATCTCCTTTTATGACCTAACCGTTGGTCGAGAATGAGACATAAGATGTAAATAAATGAAAATACTGAAAGCTGAGTTCTAGAGTCGAATATGCTTTTTAGGGTCGGCGACATAGTAGGACGTTTATAGACTGGTTGGTATGATGTTGACATGTTTATCAATAGTGAAACTATATTTCTTAGTCACTTAGGAGCCGGATCGTCTTGTACTTTACAGGTGTGTATGTTCTATTAGTAACGAGTATTGCTAATAATCGAACGGTGTATGAAAATATTACAATTAGGCCTACTACATGGTGGACGCGGTTTATCGATTAAATACATAGCCTAGCGCTCAGGATGACAGTGATCCAAATGAGTGTGTGTTCAGTGCTATGGTTCACGAAACCCGCCTTCCTATGCTATGTTCTTTGATTCCAAATTACTCATATATGAGAAGGCACAAAAATAAATTCAGTCAGAATGAGTGATGAATTCCCAAACTTAGGTGGCTTCAGTAGTTTGTATGCACTATTAATCATTCTTCTGTTTAACAAAATATGAGTTAGTATGATCGAAATAACTGTCTTTAGATTTTTTCATTTATGGTGGAAATATCGTGGGTATAAATCATAACAACAATGAGCACTAATATTAATAGAGACAATAATAATAAAAAAGTCTAGCTAGGTAAACAAGATAGTTTTTAAATTGTGTGACCTGTAAAAGTTGGTTTCTCTAATAATTACTAAGTACCAACTGGTAGGAAAAGTTATCTAAACTATCATTAGCGGATAAACATAACTGCGGAAAAACAGCACCTTATTTATGGAAGTAATTATCAGTCAGTGTATCCAGTGATTTTTCGGCCTCGTCTCATATGTCAACCATATTACCTGATTGTCAAATCTTAACAATATTTTAAGGAGATGTTGAGAAACCATTATAAATAACTACCCAGTCATTGATTTGAAATAGTTTAACAAAATGGGACTATTCCGAATAAGTCTAGAATTTTCACAGCATATAATCAAGTACTTAAATTCGAAACAAAGTGTATGAAATTGTATCGTATTATTATGACAGGTTTTAACATGACATGAAATATTTAACTGTACAGCAAATGTATTGGTTATTCACCACAGTAGTGTTGCTTTAGGTGTAAAATGCTTTTGACGGTTCATAATAAGTTTATGCTTTTGATTCAAAAATGTTTGCAAGCGAAGTGAGTGGTTTGAATAAATAAACTAAGAAACCAAAGTTTATTCCATTAAGCCAGATTACGTTCTTTTGTATAGCTTAGGAAACGTTTTTGATATACTCGAATGAAATTATACCAAAACACAAACTCTGTGCCCACTTTAGACGATTATAATTTAGGAACGAGGACAAATTCTATCAAAGATACAAAATACCTCGAATGGTACATCCTGTTCTATGCAGTTAAGGGTCCGTATAAACCAAATTCCCTGCCTTCCAGCAAGTGTCGGAAATGCATAATGGTTGGGTAGCTTGCGAGGAGTTCCCATTCTAAGGTAAAATATCTGGTCTCTGCTGGGGCGAGTTGTTTTGAGAAGAAACTAATCGGTCACCACGAGTTTTCAACGATTTTGTTGATGATACTCCTTACTGCTTTTCCTGAAGCTGCCAAAATCAAAGAAAGTATAGAATGGAACTTGGGATGCGCCGATGTAGACGCTTAAGCCAGTTTGTCAATCAACTGTTTGATAGCCTAAATAGCCTCAGAAGTTAGGTTGGACTGTTTCGGTTTTCTACTAAGGAAGTCTAACAAAGGCTGCATTGTTTGTGCACAGCCAGGTATGAATCTACGACGGAAGTCAACTAAACCTCCAGAACTACTAAGTTGTGGTATTGTTTAATGGTGTTAACCTCTTCGTTGATTAGTGTTATCTCTCCATGGGCTATTGTGTTCAAGGAACTTTAAAGTTTAAACACAGATAACATACTTACTTCGATTTGTGGTCTTTCCGATTTCTCCTGGCCGTTTTAACGCTGACCTTACGTGTTGTTCACTTGGGTTTCGATCCAAATAAGCCGTTAAAAAATTTTCATATACCCTTGTGCAAAAGGTATATCACAGAGTAAGTTGTTCACAAAGCTTTAAAATGTTCGGGCCGCATTCACCAGGCGGAATGACATGTGTTTAAATTAGAAGAGTCCAAAATATGTATTAATGGATGTCTTAGAGATATCTTCCTCAGTTACTGGGATATTGTTATGGGCCCTGCTCAAGTCGGTTTTAATAAATATGTTCATAACCTGCAAGCCGTTTGTGAAACTATGAATATGAGTTATTGGGTACCAACCTGATACCGTTTGACCTTTGTGGAATCTTTAATCCTTGCAATAGCCGCCAATCACCCTAATTTTTCTTTTAGACAATATGCGAAGGGAATGTCCATGGACTATATTACTGACGGATTATGCTTAGCTGTAACATATAGTCGATTTCAGCTCTAGCTATTTTAAACTCATCGGGTGCTGGTATCCTGGGTCTAGCAAACACAGTTTCGCCTCCGGTTTTGATCGTATGGTTCATCTTTAGTCTTTGAAGGTTCGGTTTGGCTGGGACTAGAAATTCCACGAGCGTGTCTTGGAATTTTGCAGTTGTTACTGGACGAGTTTGTATCAAATTTAAAGAAGCGATGTGTCCCTGCCTGCCTTCTGTATAACTCGGATTCTCTTTCAGTGCCAAATGTCGTTTTACAGTTCCGACTAGATATTATTACCTCTATAAAAAATCCATTCTCAGGATTGCCAGATCCAAACAGGCTATGGTGCACGACTAGGAAAACTGCTCCTTTAACCTTAAGACTGACGTAAATGTCTCCTAATGAAACGTCGTAATTTCGATTGCGCTGGCAGTTTGTAGTGTAACTGGGAGAGTTTTTCAATCCAGCTCAGTTTCGTCCTGAGAATGTTACTAATTGCAGCTTCAGTATCCACCAAAAAGCTCAAGCTCAAATTTCTGTCTGTAGTATAAAACAAGAGACTGTTCAAATACCTCCTCAGTCGTCGCGACCTGTGGAAGAGTTATTCATTTCCTAATTTCTTGGGAGTCTGTTTGAGTCAGGCACATGGTTGAATGCACTTGGTTGACTTGACACCGAATTTCTAGTGATGCTAACAGAACTGCCCAGATTATCTGGATGTGTGCGGCCTTTTCTGTGACTGGGATCTATGACCCATTTTTACTTTGGTGACAGTATTTATAAGGCTTACCACTCGCAATGATTTATGCTATGACTGGGTCTTTTGATGATTCTTCTTTTTGTGTATGATGTATTGTACGTGATCCAGTTAGGGTACGTCTTTCCATTATTCTGTCTGCGATAAGCCCTAAGTGAGATAAAGAGGTATCCAGATGTTGAGCATCCGAACGATATAGGACATAGCATGTCAGAACTGGCACCCATTCTTGTTTTAGGACTACTTCACCACGGTGATGCCGCTCATTAGGACTTGGAGGGGACGTAAGAACTGTGATGGTGATGTACCACCTGATTTTTCTCGCTGGATAAGTATTCGGATTCTTTGACCAACCGACAAAGATAGACCGTTTATTATCTCACGTTTTAAATTGGTGTATAGTTATGACATCAAGGGACTCAAAAATTAGTCGCGGACGTCTTTGGCGACTGATGGAGGGCAGCTTTCAAGTCTCTGTATAGACTCTTAGTTTTACAATAATGCCGCGTGTTATAGTGCTCCTTTTTATAAAACCACAAATTAGGATCTTTACAATCAAACTCCAGGTGTCGAGCCCTCGCAGTCACAAATGTGTTTATCTCTATCGGTGATAGTACAATTATCTTCCAGGTTTTTACTAAATATTGACCCCGACATGTAGTATAAAACGAATTTGTTGATAAAATATCAATGATAGAAAATACAACAAGGAAGTTAATAAACACTTGAGACACAATGTTGTGACATGACAAATATGTTTTCGGCTGACTCCTAACCAACCAACTCAAGGTGTTACAGGGTCTTCTACATCTGCGTTCATAAAAATGTTAGATTTCTAGCTGAGTATTTTAACTATGATCAATCCTATCAACATGATTCAGAGTGTTTTTATTCTTTTATT